ATCCCAATAACTGGACGACACACAGTTTCAGGAGCATAACTGGCAAGCCTTTAATCACAGTCTCCTTATAAAGCATGCTCCCATGCAAGGGAGGGATTTACAGTAATTATTACAGTAGCCAATCCTGTCCTGGTAACCTCCCACACATCTCCTCCCCTCAGCCAGCATCATAATCCCCTTATCCAGTACAGTAATTCCCCCCATTTCTGGATGTACCCCTAAACGTAGGGGTACCTCTTTAAATCCTACATCCCCGGATACCCCTGATCTGGGGGAATAACATATCCAAAAATCAACCAGATCAGACCAGGGGTTCGGGAAATGTATGGAGGGAATAAAATGACCGACCGCACTAACTGAGACAGCCGAATGAGGTTCCATGCGAATGGGCCCTGCGGTCGGTCCTGGCATAAGGGAACAAAATACACGAAAGCCTCTAGCTATAGAGGCTAGGGAGGGTTCGCCTGAATCCCCTCGTTCGGTACTTTCTATCTACCGAACGAGGGGCCGTTCGGTAGTTTGGAACCGAACGGACCGGGCTTGTGGAGGTCTCAGCGGTGTTCGCCTGCTCGAGTGTCCGATTTTAGTTCCAGACACTCGACGGCAAAACACCGCTGTTCGGGAGTTTTAAAATGGCCGCCGCCACGTGTTCGTTTGTCAAATGGCGGCCACCCCGAGAACAAAGGACGGCTACTTACTAGTCAATTACCCGTTCACAACAATGTTGCAATGGGTAATTGAGGACACACTTCACACAGGGGAGGTCTGGTTGTTCGGTATTTTCATTCGAATAAACTAAGGGAATTAAACTACCGAAAAATCAGAGGAATACAATTCTTTTAAAACACATATAACACAGCAGATCACACGAATGCAGTTATGTACAATATATTTGCAGGACAGCCCGGTGCCATCCGCTACATATGTGCTATATCACAATTGCATAGTTAAAAGGTTGCAAAGCACTTGCTACTAAAGCACTTATACTGAATGTGCAAATGTAATTATTAGATACTTATTAATTTTTTTGCGTTTATTTTTGAGTGCGATATCATTTTTATGAATTTAACACTGAATGAAGGTCTCCAGCTTCTCATAGCTCTGCCCCCCCTGGAGTTGTGGCTAAAGCACAGATTACACACTTCCTTGTAGCCGTACCAATAAATCTATTAGATGTAATATACAATATAAGTCAATATAAATAAACAGGAGTAATAGTTATTCATATAGGAATACCAGAGATGGATACTTAGAATAATCATTATACCAAATAAGAGCCAATTCCATATTGGTATTGGTATAATGATTATTCTAAGTATCCATCTCTGGTATTCCTATATGAATAACTATTACTCCTGTTTATTTATATTGACTTATATTGTATATTACATCTAATAGATTTATTTTCCTGATCTGTGCCATATAACATGCCTGAATGATTAGGATGTTCTGTGAAGATTTACTTTGGGATAGTGATGTGGCAGAGTGAACATACTCCACTATGTGGGCTGTGCAATGGTGAATTGAACACAGAACGATGTTATGTTTGGTCCTCCAGCCAATCCGTTCGGAGGAAGATTTCGCACGTGCGTTCCAATGACGTCACGTGCGGTTCACAGACCCGGAAGTGGGTCGCGTTTGGATACCATGGAGGATACGCTGCATGTATTTACTTTTTTTATTTGCTGTTTTCTTATGTATTTCTTCTCTCCTCTATGGGCACAGTATTTGTAACCAGGGAATACTCATGACATAATAGGTTATCCTATATATATATACACATTTTAGAATTCCTAGCATTAATATGATCATAGAATGATTCATGTCTTGTGTGTATGAAGTTAATGATATAGTGTGCACTATTTATCTGATTTATGTATATATTGTAATATTTCACATTTGATATTTGTTTCTTTTACAATGCCTTTTTAAATTACCTTTTTATCAATTAAGAACTTCTACTAATTAGCAGTAATTGATTGATTGATTTCTTAGTTGTTAGTGTTTGTTATATAAGCACATTTTGCACCATGTGGTGTCAGCTTGAAAAAGACCTTTCCGGTCGAAACGTTGCGTTGCATTCTGTCATAATAAATCTGCCTGCGGCTTGAAGTTGGAGTGCCTGTGAGTTTTTTCCTCTTGGATTATTGTACTGGGATTGCTGGTCCTGCTCTGGAGCACCCTTGGCCGTTGGGATTGGGTGCGGTTCTCATCACTTACTCTGCTCAATTATTTAAGGGCTGTCGCTTTAAGGGTTGCCTGTATGATTTTCGTGATATGTGTGTTCCAGAGTATAATGTAATGTGATTGTGTAACACTGTATTGCCTGCATTGGCTATCTGCCGAAAGTAGATAGCTGATTTCCTTTCGTTTCACGAACGGCACCTTTGCGGGCCGTTCGTGAAAAGAATGAACTATCATTTAATAGCCCACACACTAAGAAACGTGTGGCGCTTGTTAACCGATTGCAACAATGTTGCAATCGGTAATTAGAGGCTCTCCAAAGTGGCCGTCGTTCGACTACCGACCATGCGGCAGTCGGCCATCTTGGATCCTTTGTTCCCTCAGCGGTGTTTGGTCATCGAGCGCATGGTACTCAAAACGACTACTCGACGGCGTGAACACCGCTGAGCTTCCAGGCCATTCGGGAGTTCCGGGCCGTTCGGTATTATGTTCCCTAGCATGCAATCGGTCTTTTGAACATGTGTTTTAATGAATGTGTTTTTCGTGCGGCGTTCGGTTGTTTTAGCTGGGATCTGAGCGGTAATCTCACGAATAATGCGCTCAGACCCCAGCTATCTACCGAACGTCCATTCGTGCAAATAGACCGCATATTCGAAAAGTTATGTATTTTAATATAAATTGCCGGTTCTGCTGCACGGAGGGATAATCCACTTAACGGTACATTCCTGTGGGAGGATCCCTCTCGTGCAGCAGTGCCTGATGGGAGAAATGTCTTGTACAGTAAGTCCCCCATGTAGTCCCCTCTGGGAATGCCCCTGGGAGGGGACTCAGGAAACCCCTTGCATGGGGACTTGTATAAATTGTGAAGCTGAAAATAAAGACCTCAGTTGACTCTCAGAACTGTGTTTCGTCCGGTTACTGGGAGATTTGGGATATTGCCTTGCTTTTTCCAGCGCTTGACTGTGGATTACTTCCTGAACCAGCGGAATTCGTGGATTTAATATTGGCGTTCCGCTACGGTTATACTGGGTGGGTTTATATTATTAAAGGGACACTCCAGGCTCCCACACACGTTAGATGCACTGGTTAGGTTACAGTTAGTTATACTGGGTGGGTTTATATTATTAAAGGGACACGCCAGGCTCCCACACACTTTAGGTGCACTGTGTAGGTTAGGTTTCAGTTATACTGGGTGGGTTTATATTATTAAAGGGACACTCCAGGCTCCCACACACGTTAGATGCGCTGTGTAGGTTAGGTTACAGTTGGTTATACTGGGTGGGTTTATATTATTAAAGGGACACTCCAGGCTCCCACACACGTTAGATGCACTGTGTAGGTTAGGTTACAGTTAGTTATACCGGGTGGGTTTATATTATTAAAGGGACACTCCAGGCTCCAACACATGTTAGGTGCACTGTGTAGGTTAGGTTTCAGTTATACTGGGTGGGTTTATGTTATTAAAGGGACACTCCAGGCTCCCACACACGTTAGGTGCACTGTGTATGTTAGGTTACAGTTATACTGGGTGGGTTTATATTATTAAAGGGACACTCCAGGCTCCAACACATGTTAGGTGCACTGTGAAGGTTAGGTTTCAGTTATACTGGGTGGGTTTATATTATTAAAGGGACACTCCAGGCTCCCACACACGTTAGATGCACTGTGTAGGTTAGGTTACAGTTAGTTATACTGGGTGGGTTTATATTATTAAAGGGACACTCCAGGCTCCCTCACACGTTAGATGCACTGTGTAGGTTGGGTTACAGTTAGTTATACTGGGTGGGTTTATATTATTAAAGGGACACTCCAGGCTCCCACACACGTTAGATGCACTGTGTAAGTTAGGTTACAGTTAGTTATACTGGGTGGGTTTATATTATTAAAGGGACACACCAGGCTCCCACACACTTTAGGTGCACTGTGTAGGTTAGGTTTCAGTTATACTGGGTGGGTTTATATTATTAAAGGGACACTCCAGGCTCCAACACATGTTAGGTGCACTGTGTAGGTTAGGTTTCAGTTATACTGGGTGGGTTTATGTTATTAAAGGGACACTCCAGGCTCCCACACGTTAGGTGCACTGTGTAGGTTACAGTTAGTTATACTGGAATGGGTTTATATCATTAAAGGGACACTCAATGATACCACAGACTTTTTGCAGTTCAGCAATTTTTTACTAACATCTGAAACTTACTGAATTTGTAAAAATTCACACCTTAATAAATAACTATACCATTAAAGGACCACTATAGTCACCCAGACCACTTCAGCTCAATGAAGTGGTCTGGGTGCAATGTCCCTCAGGTTTTAACCCTTCAGATGCAAACATAGCAGTTTCAGAGAAACTGCTGTGTTCACATTGCAGGGTTAAGCCAGCCTCTAGTGACTGTCTTCCTGACAGCCACTAGAGGCGCTTCTGCGACGTTAGATGCGAAATTCGCATCCAGCGTGCAGAACGTCCATAGGAAAGCATTGAGAAATGCTTTCCTACGGACTGTTTGAATGCGCGCGTGGCTCTTGCCGCGCATGTGCATTCCGCTCCACTCGGGAGCTGACGGCGGCAGGGGAGGAGAGGTCACCAGCGCCCAGTGAGCCCGGCGCTGGATAAAGATAAATAGCTGAAGGGTTTTTAATGAATTTGTTTTCCTGACACTATAGTGGTCCTTTATTATTGTAATTCACAGTAGAAGAATCATTAAGTGTTAATTACCCCCCTCCTTCCCCCGGATTATTCCCTTGGTTGGGTTATTTTTTAATGCATCCCTTCCTGTCCACTATTTCCAATTAGTAGTTGTTGCTGCAGTGCGGTCAGGCCTAGGGTCCTTGCTTGCGGCAGTTTGCAAAGCTTCCTGCTGGTGGAGCTCTCACACACTGTTTTTGTATGATGCTTTCTCTCCTTGTAGAGGGAGATGGGAGGAGAAGGAGGGGATGAACTGCAGTGAGGTGGTGGGGGAGAGGGCCTGGTGTCGAATTTCTGAATCCATGATGCTGAGGGAGACAGACAGAAAGGCAAAGAAAGAGACAGAGTGAAATCCAGAGAGCCAGACGCTCAGGAAGGCTGAGGGAGAGACAGACAGACGGACGGACAGACACACAAAGAACACGAGACAAAGACCCAACACAGAATGAACAATGAGGACGACACACAGCCTTGTGCACGATTAGACCCAGGCAAATGTGCAGGCTCAGGGAAGTAGACAGACAGACAGACACAGACGAGACTGTCAGAGAGCAAGGGACTCAGAATGGGGGAGTGTTGCTACAGACAGTGACAGGAAAGGAGGGGAGATTCAAGCACACACATACATACACAGACAGACACATTCACAGAGACAGACACACACTGCTTTATGCATGCACTCATAGACATACACTAGTGCATTCACTCATTTACAAACTTAAACACACACTGACTCACTCACTCGTTTCAGGACAAGCTTCTGTGTGATGCCCATCTAGGTACACACACACACACACTGCCAGACACCTCGATAGATACACACACACACACACTGCCAGACACCTCGATAGATACACACACACACACACTGCCAGACACCTCGATAGATACACACACACTGCCAGGGACTCACTGTGTGACACCTCCATAGATGCACACACACTATGTGACACCTTGATAGACACACATATTGCCAGCGACACAAAGTGTGATACCTTTTTAGATACACACACACACACTGTGTGACACCTCGATAGACACACACTGCCAGCGACACAAAGTGTGACACCTCCATAGATACACACACACTGCCAGGGACACACTGTGTGACACCTCAATAGAAAAAAAAACACTGCCAGACACCTCGATAAATACACACACACTGCCAGGGACACACTGTGTGACACCTCCATAGTAACACACACTGTGTGAAACCTCCATAGATACACACACTGTGTGATACCTCCATAGTAACACACACTGCCAGGAACACAAAGTGTGACACCTTGATACACTCACTTCCAGGGCCACTTGCCATGACACCACAATAAACACACTGCCCGGGCCACACGGCGTGATACCAGAATTAATACACACACTGCCCGGGCTACTGACCGTGACACCTCGATAGACACACACACTGCCCGGGCCATTCACCGTGACACCTCAATAGTCACACATACTGACAGGGCCACTAGCAGTGACACCTCGATAGACACACACACTGCCAGGGCCATTCACCGTGACACCTCAATAGTCACACATACTGCCAGGGCTACTAGCAGTGACACCTCGATAGACACACACACTGCCAGGGCCACACGGCTTTATAGATAGGCACACACAGAAAGAGGCACACACTGGAGTTCCACAGCTTGCACAAGTCTTCCGACGGAGGAGGGAGAACTAACATGAAGACAATGTTACCGGCTGCAGCTGCACCACCACAGCTGTTGGTGTGAAAACTGAATTGTGGAAGGGCCACGTGGATTCCCTGACCCCCCCTGCGCACTATGATTGAGTGAGTCTAAACACACCTCTCTTCTGCTTGTTACTGATTCCTTCTGACTTACTTGCTAGAGGACCTGGGCTAGTGCGGGACCCCGGCCTGTCACTGTTTGAAGGCCTGAAATTTAGATGTTAGGGACTAGGTGGGTGAGTGCTTGTAGGGTGATGATTTAATGGACAGGTTTGGGGGTCCAGGTATCAATGGTGGCACCTGGGATTAGATTGCAGGCTTATATCGTATAATATGTTGGAGCAGTGTGTGGTTTTCCCTGGTGTCATGTTCAACACGATAAGAACCGGCGTGGAGCAACCTCCGAGTAGTCTGTGATTCTGTTCAAATTCAGCTTTTGTATTGTTACCAATTTTCCATAATGCAATAACCTTGTATCTGCCGAACCCTAAAATCAGATCAGGGTCTCATTTAGTGGAATAAAGATTGTGTTACACAGTAAAGAAGGTCTTGCTATTTTCCAATATTATCTGCTGGTAATCAGTATTGAGCAATACCCCAAAAATGAAGGTTTGCATTTCAGTCTGCAGTAGTATTTCTAAAGATTATGACAAAAAATGTAAAGGGAGGAAAAATAGCAAAATGTGTGAACAGTATGTAACTTTGTAATACTAGTTATATTGCCACTGTCATTGTTTACATCTGTGTCGAGGGAGCCCCAAATTTCTTTATTACATTTACAAACCACCCAAAACCGTAAAGCAGCGAGAATCTCAGAATGTGGATGTGACTAGTCACGTTCTGGCAGAGCTTGCCCAAGCAGGACAGAATCTGTCATGGTGGAAGGAAGCGAGCGATGCAGACAGAAAGGCCCCAAGAACAGGAAAACAGACAAACAGAAACGGTGAACGCTTTCCTGTTATACAGAATGCTACCGTCTCTGATCAAGAAAGGACATGCAGTAAATCCAAGCAGCTTATTGGTGGTTTTCATTCGACGTGACGCAGAGTGTGTGTGTAAATCGTGTTCATACATGTGGCCGGTCGATATCCATGACAGCTGTGGGACCAGTGCTGCACTTTATTATTATCATTTATAAAGCACCAACATGTTCTGCAGCGCTGTACACTAGGAAAACAAAACGTAACAGAATGTCCTTAAAACCTGTCATTGTTTCTAGGTAGCCTGGTAAAGAGGAACTGTGACTTCCCAGGATTTGTAATATTTTGTTTCTCCATCCCTATATTTAAATGAGTTGTATCTGTAACGTTAAAAATAAAATGAAATGTAGAAATCTGCACCTCTTTATCCTGCAACCGGGCGCCTCCATCTTAGCTTCCTGTCAATCATTGTTATAAGCTCCACCCTTTACACCTGGCAGTCAGCATAGAGAGAGCCACCTCCATCTTAGCTCCCTGTCAATCATTGTTATAAGCTCCGCCCTTTACACCTGGCAGTCAGTATAGAGAGAGCCACTTCCATCTTAGCTTCCTGTCAATCATTGTTATAAGCTCCGCCCTTTACACCTGGCAGTCAGTATAGAGAGAGCCACCTCCATCTTAGCTCCCTGTCAATCATTGTTATAAGCTCCGCCCTTTACACCTGGCAGTCAGTATAGAGAGAGCCACTTCCATCTTAGCTTCCTGTCAATCATTGTTATAAGCTCCGCCATTTACACCTGGCAGTCAGTATAGAGAGAGCCACCTCCATCTTAGCTCCCTGTCAATCATTGTTATAAGCTCCGCCCATTGCACCTGGCAGTCCGCATAGAGAGAGCCACCTCCATCTTAGCTTCCTGTCAATCATTGTTATAAGCTCCGCCCATTGCACCTGGCAGTCCGCATAGAGAGAGCAGACAGAGAGGAGGAGAAATGAAATAATGTTTCTTTTTCTCCTTATTTGCATGGTATGCCCTGACTGTGCCTTGCCTGACCTGCATGTTGATGTCAATTGCCAAATGTTTAGTATAAATTTAAAGAAGGCAGAGCAATTCATGAACCTTGTCTAACACAAGTTATAGGTGATTTTCAGCATTTTTTTTTTTTAAAAAAAAGGGACTTTTCCCCAGAATGTAATTAAAATGCGATTCTCAGTGTTGTGAATAAACCCAGGGAGGAATATGGGACATTGATGGGTTAGTTTAGGTCCTGACAGGGAATTCTGGGAAATGTGCGAAGGTGACGGCTCGTTATTCCGTGGTCTTGCAGAACGTGGATATAAACGTGCGTTGCTTGCATGTAATGCGTCACATAGTTTGCTGAGTGTCGTATTCACTATTAGCAGATTCCTGTCTTCATGGCGAATCTGCGAGAATATTATTTGGTTTTTGTGATGTATCTATCCACTTGTGTTAGGCGAGCACTGAGTATTGTTTGTTTTGAATGGTATATGATGAGAAATAAGCCTTTGTTTAATTTAGAAACACCTGTGTATTTTTGTAGCGAGATCTGTATACAGCGCTCTGCTCTCAGGCAGAGGAATTCCAGCAGTAACCACACAGCTGCCGGACTCAAACTCCCAGCAGGAGGTGGCTGAGAGGAATGGGGTTGGTAGTCCAGCACAGGGCAGTAGCAGTACGTTATCCATTTCTGCACTAGAGGCCATCTTCACTAACCCAGTTGGTGTGTTTCCCTGAGTGTTGTTTATAACATACCCATAATCCTGCAGTGTACACGTTGGGTGAGTCCGGTCTGTGGCTCACTCCAGCCTTTTGACTTGTGAAGATGCAAACCTTGTGCTTGGTGTTCCATTATAAATAATATTAAGGTCCCTATTAATGTATCACTGAAGATGATGTATTGACAGTTACCATTTTATTCCCAAATCAGTGAGTACAGTAAGGTAATCACGTACCATATTATAGGCTAGCACTGCTTACAGCTTTATTGTGTGCATTCATTTTCACCGCATCAAGCCACTCACAGGCACTCTGTATATCCAGGCCCATTACTCAGAGCAGACACTGCTTACAAGGCATTTTAATAAGTTAAAACGTCGCTGTTTACTGTCCATCTGAACCGCTGCTGGTCTAATAACCTGTTTACGGTAATGCTCTGCTAAACTAGCAGATTAACACGAAGCAGAAGTGAAAGGTTCCATAGCAGGACGGGCCATAAGTCCTTCCACCTGATTTTTGGTGTAAACAAGTTGGTGAGACTCCACGGATTGGTCAGTTCCATTACTCTGGGTAAAGTCTGTCTACAAAACTTAATATTTAATACATAGTCACGCACAGGTTTAAAGGACGATTAGACATGAGTTTTGCGTCCTCTCCTACTTAATTAATGAGTAATTCTGCAGGGATTCGGGGGGTGATAAATCTTGGAAGTCAGTGAGCTGCTGTGATCAGTGATTTGCACTCACTGCGTCACACTACTCTCGCAGGTAATAATATATCATTTAATATATCATTTTCTTTCACTTCAGCTTGGACTGAAACCCTCTAACAGGCGTTATAGTAACTGCGCAGTAGGCAAATACGTCTTGTTTTCACGGTTTGCCACTGACTTTACAAAATGCTGCAGTGTAGGAGCCAGCGCTGCCTGTTTTAGGATTCATTGATCGTCGGCCGGTGGGGGTTTCAAACTCTTTAGAACATGCTGTTTGCTTACTGCCTTTTGTTATTCATGAAATGCTTTCTCAGCTGAATAGATCTGTCCCGGAATAAGCCGAGTAACTGGACAATGCTGAGAATCTCCGTCCTCTTATATGAACCGTTCCAAAGAGAACAGAGTGAACGGATCCCCCAAACCTGCAGCGATGTCCTCCACCTGTCCATTCAGAATGTTACATTTTAAATGTTGTGTTTTTACAGATAAATCTGCTACATATTCTGCAGTGTTGTATGATGGGTCAATGAAACAAGCCTAACATTTAGAATTAGTTTAATTATTTTGGCCTAAACGTTTCTTAATAAATAACCGTGAATTTATCCCCAGTTTAATAGATATTAATACGTACGATGCAGGCTTTATAGAATTGAACTGAGTATACGTGGATGCTATTTACTATATGCATTGTATGCTTTGTATCTCGCTAAAAAGGAAACCATAATCTTTTTGGTGAAAGTAGCAGATATCCAGAACGATGATGGAGATAATCAGGGATCCTACACGATGTCATTTAAAGTACAAAATATGGGACCTGATGTTCAGATACAAATAATCTGTAAGAGATCCTTCATATGTTTCCCTCCTACTCGCTGGAAATGCTGATTGCATTAGATAACGAATTGTGCAAAAAGGAAACAAGCTACATTTGTGCCGTTTTTAAAGCTGTATGCCTTGCGCGACATACTAAGTTGGCTTTAATGTATATAATTACACTTCGAGTGTGTCCTGCCTGGCAGCGCATGCAGCTCTGGGATAATGGCAAACAGGTGTGAGTCATTCATCATATCCTGCCTCATATCGGGGGACTAAGTGGACCCCCAGTTTACACGATGAGTTACCTTCTGGTCAATCCGTCCACGACATTTATTTACAGATCCAATTTCACTGGTTTTGACTGACAGAACCGATGTGATATCATGAATGGCGTACCATAGATCAGGGCCGGACTGGCCCACCGGGATACCGGGAAATTTCCCGGTGGGCCGCGGCACCTGGGGCCGGTCTGACAGCCCTGATCCCGGCCGGCTATGTGTGAGCTGTGCGGCCGCACAGAGCCCCATGGGAGCAGGGGGAGCCAGGCGGCCGTCACAGCTCACACATGGCCGGCGGGATCATAAAAAATAAATGTAAAAAAATTTGCAGCGGGGGCGGGGCTTAGCGTGCCGGGGGCGGGGCTTAGCGTGCGGCGGGGGCGGGGCTTACTGTGCGGCGGCCTGGCTGACTGCAGCATGGGAAGCAGGAAGGAGTCCCTGCTTCCCCAACAACCAGCCTCCAGGAGCAACAAACAGGAGGTAAGAAGGTCAGTGTGAGTGTGAGACTGTCTGTGTGAGACTGTCTGTGTGAGACTGTGTGACTGTCTGTGTGACTGTCTGTGTGTGACTGTCTGTGTGAGTGTGTGACTGTCTGTGTGTCTGTCTGTGTGAGTGTGTCTGTGTGAGACTGTCTGTATGA